GAGACGGGGTCTCACTCTTGCTCAGGCTGGTTTTGAACTCCTGAGCTCAAACAATCCGCCCGCCTCGGCCTCCCAGAGTGCTAGGATTACAGGCGCTCATGCCTTTTTTTTTTTTTAATCATGAAAGGGCACTGGATTTTGTCAAATGGTTTTTCTGCATCGATTGAGATGATCATATATTTTTTTTCCTTCATTCTGTTAACATGGTGTATTACATTGATTTTCATAGGTTGAACCACACTTGAATTCTGGGGATAAATCCCACTTAGTCATGATATATAATCATTTTAGTATGCTGCTGAATTTGGTTTTCTAATATTTTGTTGAGAATTTTAAAATCTGTATTCATAAAAGATATTGGTTTGTAGTTTAGTTTTCTTGCAGTGTCTCTGGCTTTGATATAAGGTAATGCCGACTTCATAGAATAATTTAGGAAGTGTTAAGTCCTCTTTAATTTTTTTGAAGATTTTCGAGAAGGATTGATGTTAATTCTTCTTTAAATGTTTGACAGAATTCACCAGTGAAGCCATCTGGTCCTGAACTTTTCTTTGTTGAGATTTTTTAAATTACTGGTTCAATCTCCTTACCTGTAATAGACATATTCAGATATTCTATTTCTTCTCTCGTCAGTTTTAGTAGTTTGTGTGTTTTTGGAATTTGTCCATTTCATCTAGGCTATCCAATTTGTTGGCATACAGTTGTTCATAGTATTCTCTTATAATACTTTCTATTTATGTAAAATAGTACTGTCCCCACTTTCATTTCTAATCTTAATAATTTGAGTCTTCTTTCTTTTTTTTCTTAGTCACTCTAACGGTTTGTCAGTTTTGTTGATCTTTTCAAAAAACCAGCTTCTCAATTTATTGATTTTTTTTCTCTATCGTTTTCCTACTCTCTATTTATCTCTGCCTTAATCAGTATTATTTCCTTCTTCCTGCTACATTTGGGTTTAGTTTGGTCTACTTTTTCTAGTTCCTTAAAGTGTACAGTTAGGTTATTGATTTCAGATCTTTTTTTTTCTTTGATGGAGGCATTTACAGCTATAAATTTCCCTCTTAGCACTGCTTTCACAGCATCTTACAAGTTTTGATATATTATATTTTTGTTTTCATTTGTCTCAAAGTGTTTTCTAATTTCTCTTGTGACTTCTTATTTGACTCATTGGTTATTTAAGAGTGTGTTGTTTAATTTCCACATATTTTTGAATTTTCCAGGTTTCCTTTTTACTGATTTCTAGTTTCACTCCATTGTGATTGGAAAAAGCTTTGTATGATTATCAATCTTAAAATTTATTAAGACTTTTATTTTGCGGCCTAACATATGGTCTCTCCTGGAGAATATCCATGTGCACTTGAGAAGAATGTGTATTCCGCTGTTGGTGGGCAGAGTCTTCTGTATATGTCTGTTAGGTGAAATTGGTTTATACGGTAGTTTGAGTTCTCTGTCTCCTTATCGATCTTTGTCTGGTTGTTCTAGCCATTATTGAAAGTGGGGTATTTAAGACCCCAACTATTACTGTAGAACTGTTAATTTTTCCTTCCAATTCCATCAATTTTAGCTTCGTAGTTTTGGGGCTCTGTTGGCAGGTATTTATAACTATTATATCTTCTTGCTGTATCAAAGTTTTTTAAAATATATAATCTTCTTCTTTGTCTCTGGTAACCTTTTTTGACTAAAAGTCTATTTTGTCTGACAATAATGTAGCCACCTCAGCTCTCTTTTGGTCACTATTTGCACGAGATAAGTTTTCCCATCCTTTTACTTTCAAGTTCTTTGTGTCTCTGTATCTAAAGTGAGTCTCTCATAGACAGCACATAGATGAATCATATTTTGCCAACCTCTGCCTTTTTAATTGGAGTGTTTAATCCATTTACTTACTTTAAAATAATTACTTATAAGGAAGGGTTTATTTCTGCCATTTAGGTATTTGTTTTCTGTATATCTTATATTTTTCATTCCTCAATTCCTCCATTACTGCCTTTCTTTGTATTTAGTTTATTTTTTGCAGTGTGCCATTTTGATTCCCTTCTGTTTTCCTTTTCTGTATATTTTGTAGTTATTTCCTTAGTGGATACCTTGGTGATTACAATTAATATCCTGAGCTTACAGCAACCTAGGTTGAAAAATACCAACTTTGTTTCATCAGTATATAAACACTCTTTTCCTATACATCTTCATGCTCCTGTACACCTTCTCCTTTATATTGTTATCGTCACAGATTACATTATACATTGTGTGCCCATTAACATAGATTTATAATTATTGTTTTATGTATTTGCCTTTTAAATTATATAGATGAAAAGAGGAGCTACAAACCAAAAATACAATAATACTAACTTTCATATTTACCTGTGTAATTACTTTTACCATAGATCTTTGTTTCTTTGTATGGCTGTGAGTTACCATTGATGGCCCCTTTGTTTTATTCTGAAGGATTTCCCTGAGTATTTCTTGTGGGCAGATCTACTGTTAATTAACTCCCTCAAGTTTTGTTTACCTGGAAATGTTTTATTTTTCTTTAATTCTTTTTTTGTTTTTGTTTTTGTTTGTTTTATGTTCTACCCACCCCTAGCACCTGTCCCCTTCCCCCAACAAGCATGCTCCTTTCTTTCCCTCCCCCCCATCTGCTTCCCCTCCTCCAGCCTCACCGTCCTGGGGGCTTCTCCGCTCGCAAGCGCCCGCGTGGAAGAACCCCACAATCTCAGCACCTGCCTACTCCCCCGATCCAGTCGCTGAGTCTGTACCTCCCTTTCTCCATCATCGAGGGCTTCCCTCACCCCGCGTCCCCCGAGTTTCCCCCGCCCTCCGCCCCCGCGATGCCAGCCCCCGCCAGCCCCCCGGCCGGGGATCACCTGGCTCATCTTCGAGGTAGAGGATGAAGACGATGAAGTAGCTGAGGTCGAAGACTGGAAAGAGCAGCACCCGCGAGAAGCTGAGTGCCAGCTCGCCCAGGCTCAGAGCCGAGAGCAGGTCCATGGCTGGATGCCACCCCGCCCCCAGCCGGGTCGCGTCCCGCAGCACCACGGCCCTGCAACTGCGCCCCCGCCCGCCAGGCGCCACCCCAGGCTCGGCCGCGGGAGAGGAGGGGCGACGGTCCACCTCGGGAAGACGCGAGTCT